TATCGCGCCAAGCCCGCCAGGAAGAGCAGGTACGCGCCGCGCCCCCCCAGCCTCTCCGCCGAGACTCCCGCCTTCCTCCCGCGGAGGGGGTTGCCTGCTCCTCTCCCTCGTAGCCTGGCCGTATCAGAACTTCGGCCCGGCCCGGCCCGGCCCGCGCACCCCACCCTCCCCTCCAAGCTCCCTTTCGCTCGCAGAGCCAGCTTCGTCTCCCCCTCTCCTCTCTTTCCTGAAGCTGGAACGGTACGGGGACACCGGGAGGGAGCTCCGCCGGTTTTTCCCTTTGGCGACTGGATATATAGTTGTGGGGCGCGGAGAGAGTCGTCTGATCCTCGTGTTATGAAAGAAGACTGGGCCGTAGGATCCGGGCATGGAAGGCGTCGCCCACGCCGAGCCTGCAGGCTTAACCCGGGCAGCGGCCGCGCGCCTCTCGTTTTGCAGAGGGTGGGCCGCGGCGGCGTGTTGAGGGGGCTTGGAACCGGGCGGAAGGGTGACCCGCTGCCTCCTCCGTGTGGCTCTTTTAGACGCGTCTCGCCGCCCTGACCTCAGTCGACAAGGCGGAGCCGAGCCAGGAGCGCCCCAGACTTTTGAAAGTTGGCAGCTGTCAGGCTACGGCTCCTCCGTCCGTCCGCCGCTCTCCTGCCAGGGGATAGGGTGTTGGAGGGCCTGGAGCCAGCTGCTTTCCTTGCAAAAGGACTGGTGGGATAGGTTCTCGGGTTCCTTAGCTGACCCCGAAGTATGCGTTGGGCGGGGTTACTTTCTTCCCGCTGCTAAATATTCCCCAGAGCTCAACTACCCGCTGGCTGACATTCATTCTTTTCCCGCCTGAATCTGCTTCCTCCATTCAGCGCAATTTAGGCTTCAGTTAGACGCTTATAATTGGAAAGATGGCATAATCGCGGGTTTGTTTGTGTACAGCTTATTCTAGTTCAGGTATGCAAGCTGCTGTGTTTCTCCGTGACCGTTTGCTTGCCTAAATTGCTTTTAAAAATGTTGTTTAATCTTAAGCACAGGAAGCATGCAACTATAATAATACGTCTCCACTGTTACAGAATAAATACGTATCAAGCTCCTATCTGTCCCAGATGGTTAGGCGAAAAAAGAGTTACAGTATTTGGTTTGCGTTCTGCTTCGTGTCTGAGGGGGAAATTCAAGGGAAAGCCAGACACACCCAGGCATCTGAGACAAAACAAATTTGTGAACTATTCAGGGCCCAGCTCTGAATGCTTATCCATTTGGGCAAAAACATTTTATCTCCACAGGATTTCAGACAAATCTAGCTAGCTTGAAGTTTTGCTCTTTTCTTGCGTTTTTCAGTTATGTTGGTTTTCAGGAGAATTTGAATTGGAAAAAGTTCCCGAGCAAGGTGTAATTTGATATGTTGATCTTATTTATGGTTGTTCAACCAACCATGATAAAAGCAATCCGTGACTTAGTACAACGCGTGGATTCTGATTCAGACACAGTCCCTTGTAATACATACAGTATCTAGAATGCATGGGTTTCTTTTGGGGCCCTTACTGAATAAATAAGCTCTGAAGATATTTGAGAGGAATTTGTTGATGTGGCTTTTCATTTTGTTGCTGAAATGAAATCTGACTGTATTCATGCTCAGGCAAAAAATATGGTGAGAAACTCTAGGAGTGGCTTATAGTTCTTTGGTTTGCCCCTCCCCCCTTTTGTCAAAGTTATAAACTTGCAAAAACTTCAAGAAGCTTGTTGCCCTTTAAAGATCTACACATTTATCAAGGCATACATTTTGATGAACTAGACTGAATATTATTGCATTAAGAGTTATCCAGAGTTTGAGGGTATTGAAGTTGGGCGGCGATAATAAATTCGAATAAATAAAATAAATCCATATACATAGGTGTGGAGGGAGATGATACACAAAAATGCAGAATGTGGCCGTTAAATAAAACCTGACTAAAATAAGTAAACAAGACAAAACATTTGTTGCCGACAGTATTCCTAAGAGTGCGTTCATTGATAAGTTGTTGTGTGTAATGGGATAACAAATTCTTTACAGTATCCTGATTCAGAGAGAGTCTCCAAATGGTTTCTTTGATTTTTTTTTTTCATCAGCAGGAGTAGGAAGAACATAGTCCTCTTTTCCCACACTTGGCGAGTCTGCCTTGGGAAACTATATGCCCCTCCTAGAGACTTTAGCAATGCCAGGTCAGTAAACTGCCTTGCACTGAATTGGATCCACCCATCTTTACCTTGCCTGGCTTAATCCAGTATTGTCCAGACCAGGGTTTCTCAACCTTGGCCACTTTAAGACGTGTGGACCAACTCCCAGAATTCCACAGCCAGCATATGCTGGCTG